GACACAGAGACAGAGAGATACACAGAGATAACAGAGACACAGAGATAAAGACACAGAAATAGACAGAGGCAGAGATAGACAGACACACAGAGACAAAGAAACAGAGACATACAGAGACAGAGAAACAGAGACACAGAGATAGACAGAGACACAGAGAGATAAACAGAGACAGAGAGAGACAGAGACAGAGAAACACAGAGACACACAGAGATAGAGACACAGAGACAGAGAGATACACAGAGATAACAGAGACACAGAGATAAAGACACAGAAATAGACAGAGGCAGAGATAGACAGACACACAGAGACATACCGAGACAGAGAAACAGAGACACAGAGATAGACAGAGACACAGAGACAGAGAGTCACAGAGACACAGAGACAGATAGAGACACAGAGACAAAGAAACAGAGGCATGCAGAGACAGAGAGATAGAGACACAGAGACTGAGACAGACAAGGACAGACAGATAAAGAGAGACAGAGACAGAGAGACAAAGACAGACAGGGGGATAGAGAGAGTGACCTCAGGCTTGATGTCAGGAGGGGCCTCAGCTTGAATCCCACCTCCCATGCTGACTAACTGTTACCATAGGCAAGTCACTGTTCCTCTTTGTGCCTTTGCTTCTGCATCTGAAAAACGGGGATAACAAGACTGGAAGGAAGTGTCTGCCTCCCGGAGACACTGAACTAATGTTTGTAAAGTGCCTTGTCGAATTTCCACCACTGAGCCAATGGCAGTGATGGTGATATTGATGATGATAATGATGGTGATGACGATGATGATGCCGGCCTCAGTTTCCTTAGATATATGACACCTAAAGCTCTTCACAACTTGCCCCCTTCTCATCTTTTCAGTTTTATGGCACCTTCCTCCCCTCTCAAACTGTTTCAGTGATGCTGGCCTACTTGCAGTGGTCTGAAGGAGACTTCTCATCTCTCCTCTGTGGCCCTTTGCCCTAGCTGTCTCTTATGCTTGGACTGCTCTGCCCCTCAGTTTTCCTTGCCTCCTTCCAGACTCAGCTCCAAAGCCACCTGCTCCAGAAGGCCTTTATGCCTCTCTACCTGCTAGTGTCTTCCTTTCCCAGAATGCTCCTCATCTACCTTGTAAATACCTAGTGTTTACCTAGTTGTTTACACGGGCATGCAGTCAGGAAAGATACAAGTTCAAATCTAGGCTCCGACACTTAGTATCTGACCCTCGTAAAGTCACTTCACCTCTGTCTAACTCAGTTTCCTCATCTGTTCAAATGAGGATAATAATAGCACCTGTCTCCCAGAGTTGTTGTGAGGATGAAAGGAATAAATATTTCTAAAGCACTTTGTAAACCTTAAAGTACCAGATAAATGCTAGTTATGACAATGATGGTGATGGGTGATGGTGAGGATGATGATGGTGAGGATGAGCGTAGTGAGGATGGTGATGGTGAGGGAGAGGATGGTAAAGGTGAGGAGGGTGAGGGTGAGGATGGTGGGGGTGAGGATGGTGAGGATGGTGAAGGTGAGGATGGTGATGGTGAAGGTGAAGATGGTGAGGATGATGATGGTGAGGGTAAGAATGATGGTGGTGAGGACAGTGAAGGTGAGGATGGTGATGGTGAGGATGTGGAAGGTGAAGACAGTGAGGATGATGAGGGTGATGATGGTGGGAGTGAGCATGGTGAGGATGTTGATGGTGAGGGTGAGGACAGTGAGGGTGAGGATGATGAGGGTGAGGATGGTGAGGGTGATGATAATGTCTCCATAGCTTCTAGGTACTGCTCCAGCTCTAATTCTATGACTCTATGACCTGTGTGACCCTGAAGGACTGTGGTAGCAGTGGAAAAAAATGCATAAATCCTATGGTGATGAAAGATCCAAAGACAGTCTCTGGGCTGAGGACCCAGGAGGCAGAAGCCATTTGGAGAGGAGGAAGGGTGCTTGAAGGAGGTCTATGGCCACTGCCCACAACATCAAATTAGGCTCTGGGTAGTTTTGTCTGCTCTTTTATTCACTCGTTATTTCCTGAAGGTGACCTGGATCTCCTATCAGACCCTGAGCTCAAAAGGGACTGGATCCGTCACCTAACTCCTATCTTCCTCTGGTCTCCTCTCCCTGCTGGGACAGAGCTCAAGGACTTACTGAATCTCCTATATTTAAAAGATGGGGAAACTGAGGTTCAGAGAGAGATGAAGTGACTTGCCTGGGGTCACACAATTACTCTGCCTCATAGATCTAAAGCAAGAAAGGCTCTGAAAGGTCATCTAGTCTAACTCCTTCATTTTACAGTTGAGGAAACTGAGGCCAATGGAGGTTAAGTGACTTTCCTAAAATCACATATATAGTAAGAGCAGGTGAGATATTTGAACTCAGGTCCTCTGATTCCAGACCCAGTGTTCTTAACAATAATAGCAAATGCTATTATTGTGTTGTAAGATTAGCAGATGTATCTAACTCAACAACCCAGAAGGGTAGGTGCTGTTATTATCCCAATTTTACAGATGAGGAAACTAAAAAAGACAGAGGTAAAGTGACTCATCCAGGGTCACATGGCTAATAAGTGTCTACATCCAGATTTGAACTCAGGTCTTCCAGACCTCAAGTTCAATGCTTTACCCACTGCACCACCCAGCCACCTCCATACCATGTGTTCTCACTGTTCAGTTCAATTGCTTTAATGGTCACTCACTCAGAAGTGAGAGCTAAGCCTCCATACCTCCTTGAGGTGGGGGAGCTATGACTGTGGAGCATTGCCTAGAGTTCAATTTAGTTGATGAGTTGATTAGTTTTGCTAAATGCTTTTTTTTCTCTTCCTTTTTTATTCTTTCTTCTAAGATCTGGTTTTCTACATGGGAGAAGGGATGCACATATCAGGAAATGAAAGTGATATAAAAAATTTCAATAACAATTCTTTTTTTTTTTTTTTTACAAAATGAAGTTTCTACTCCATTCAAGAAATGGAAATACAAAGATAAATCTATTATAGACCCTCTTCTCAAAAGCCTTGCCATGTGTGGGTGGGAGAATCAGACCTTCCCTAAGACTGAAGGGTCTGGGTCCACCCCCACCCACCCAAAGCCAATGGACTTCATATTCATTGCCAGCCCACAGGAAGCCTTAAATGTTTGTCAATGGATCAATTGATTGATTTATAGAAGGTGAGTTTTGAGAGTCAAGACTATTTTTGTAGTCCTACTGCCTGACACACAGTAGGTGCTCAATTAATGCTTGCTTGCCTGATTGGTTGATTGGAGCCCCCAGGAGGTAGAAGGTCCAAGCTCAGTGACTACCTATGGTGATAAAGTTACCGATGAAGTGCATAGCTAGGTTCCAAACCCCAGTGACTGGCATCTCAGCCCGAGCCCCATGGAGACTGGGAGATAAGAGAAGGGGGTATATTCCCACATGCATAGCTAAGTCCCCCTCCTGCAAGTTATCCATACTCTTCAATGGTCAGTCAGTCAACAAGCATTTATTAAGCACCTACTATTTTCTAGGCACTGTATTAAGTGCCGGAGAGACCAAGAAAGGCAAAGACACAGTCTGCCCTCAAGGAATTCATATTCCAATGTGGGAGACAACATGCAAAGAGCCATGCACAAACAAGGTATATCTTGTGTCAATGGGAGTCAACCCTAGAGGGAAAGGTCTAACATTAAGGAGGCCTGGGAAGGGAGTCTCACAGAGGGGAGGATATTTGTTAAGCCTTGAAGGAAGCTGCACATAGAGGCCAAAAGGGAGAGCCTGGTGCCTTCTCTGGCTCTAGGACAGGGGGGCAATAAGCTCATTGAGGGGAATTTCATCTTTGTAAGCCCCTCGCACAGAGATGATGACACAGAGGAAAGGCTTCGGTAATGCTTACTGATCTTTCTCAATCTCTGTCCTCAGCCTCTGAGTAATGTGTGTATGGCCATATCCTGTCTAGCTGGAGGCTATTCTCCCATGACGAAAGGTGGCAGGACAGAGAGGCTGCAGGGTGGAGGGAGAGGCTGAATTCACAATCTTTCAGAGAACTTATATCTGATCCTGGAAGGAATGAAAAGCCATGGGAGTTTATTGGATAGTGGCGTGACCTGATCAAATCTGCTCTTTTGGAAGGTTGATTTGGCAGAATTCACAATCTTTCCCAGGGGTCCCTGCACCCCCACCCCTAAACCCACCTCTCTTTCACACTTCCCTGCCTGGTCCCCCAGGCTCATGACCTCGGTGTCAGCCCAGCTTCTCCATCCTCTCTCTCGCCCCCCATAACCAATCTATTGGCAAACCTAGTTGTCCTCCCAACACAACATGTCCCCTTCTCTCCTCTGACACTACCACCCCTTAGCACAGGCCCTCATTGCCTCTCACCTGATGGTGGGTCCCCCTGCCCACTCAGTCCATCTTCCACTCAGTTGCCAAAGTGATCTTCCTGAAATGCAGGTCTGGCCATGTCACGTGCTACTCAATGAGCCTCAGGGACTTTCTCTTACCTCCAGGATCAAGCTTCAAATCTTCTGTTTAGCCTTTAACACATTCCACAGCCAGATCCCTTGTGACACTTCCAGTTTTCGTACACTTT